CCAGCCCCCCTCAGCCCCTTTTGTTTCTCCTCTCAGAACTCCAACCTTGTCCTCCAAGCTGACCGCTCGCTGATCGACCGGACGCGGCGGGATGAGCCGACGGGGGAAGTCCTGTCCCTGGTGGGGAAACTGGAGGGGACCCGCATGGGGGACAAGGCCCAGAGAACCAAGCCCCAGATGCAGGAGGAGAGACGAGCAAAGTGAGTGTGAGCTGAGGGGGTGTGGAGTGCTGACAGAGAACGGTATTTGTTTTAAAAACACTGGGCAGTTAATTTTTCATTCCTGTCTTGGGATAATGCAGCCTGGTTTGGGTTTAGGGCTGTAAACGGGGTAGAATTCAACGGTGCTCAGAATATTTTGTAGCGGAAAATGTTTTGGGGACACGAGGACAGGGCTGCAGACTGAAACTGCCAACGTGGAAGATGCAGAGATGTTATTTCCTTCGTTTGGAGTTGCTTGTTCCCTGTCAAGAAACTAAAATCGAAGTGAAAAATTAAAAAATATCTATTTTCCCCCTCTATTTTTCAAATCAAAGAGCCTAGCCGTACTTGCAGCAGGAGGAGCGGGGCTCTGCCGTGTGGCTGACCCTGGCACTCTCCTCTTCCCAGGCGAAGGAAGCGTGATGAGGACAGGCACGACATCAACAAGATGAAAGGTTACACCCTGCTCTCCGAGGGCATCGACGAGATGGTGGGCATCATCTACAAACCCAAAACCAAGGAGACCCGCGAGACCTACGAGGTCTTGCTCAGCTTCATTCAGGCGGCTCTTGGGGACCAGGTGAGGATGGCGATGCCCCAGGATGGGTGTCCCTGCTCCGGCAGAGAACTCGGAGCCTGGGTGACAGAGATCTGTCCCTTGGATCTTTTAATCTTTCCTTGTAATCCCGTGGAATGGCTTCGCTCCGTCAGTGTTGGGTTTTGGGCTTGGGGACATTATGGTGACACCTTGGTTGTGGGGGTGGCTTTTTGGTGCCTATATGAGGGTCCAGAAATCGGAGGGAGGGAGCCCGTACCCTTCACGTAGCGAATTTATTCTCCGTTCTTCCTTCCGCAGCCACGGGACATCCTCTGCGGAGCCGCCGACGAGGTCCTGGCGGTCCTGAAGAACGAGAAGCTGCGGGATAAGGAGAGACGGAAGGAGATCGATCTGCTGCTGGGACAGACCGATGACACCCGCTACCACGTCCTGGTCAACCTGGGGAAGAAAATCACGGATTACGGCGGAGACAAGGAAATACAGAACATGGGTACGGGAAGGAGTTGGCGGGGGCTGCGGCTTGGGGGATGGGGCTGGCAGAAAGTCAGGTTGCTGGTGCCAAACACTGCTCTGGGGGAGTGTTTGCACACAAAAGAAGCCAGAAAAATATTTGGAAAGTTTTCAAGCGGGCCCCCCCCCCCCCCCGCACCAAACCATGTTCTTTTTATCTTTTGGATGCAGCGAGGTGTAGGCGGGTGGGTGGATCCGTCAGCCCTCCATGTAGTGCCCAGATTTTGCGATGAATTAACTCCGCTCTCCCTTGCAGATGACAATATCGATGAGACGTATGGGGTGAACGTGCAGTTCGAGTCTGATGAGGAGGTACGAGAGGAGAGGCTGGGGGGTGGTGGCGGAGGCTCTGCCCTGTCCACAAAAAAAAAGCTCTGCAGGGTCCCCGTTTGTCCCGTTTGACTCCATTGTGTTGGGAGGTGGACAGTGGTCAGGGCTGCTTTTGCCAGGAAGGAGAAGCTGGATTATTTTAGCTGCTGCTTCCTGGCTTGGGGAGGATTTGTTGATTATCCTGCTAATCCAAGGCTTATTCGTGAGTCAGCACGATGGAAACCAGATGGTGATATTTAGCTATCGTGGGGAAACTTGACAGATCGGGAGGAAGAGAGACGTTCAAAGGCGGTGGCTGGAAGTGTTTCATAGAAATGCTCCCTGGGGTTGTGTTTTGGAAGAGGCTGAGAGAACAAGACGAGTGACAAACGCAGGATTGTTGGGGGAATTGCTGGCAAATCCTTTCTGGTGAGAGCAGGAGTGATCTTGTCATGCAGGGTTCACCTGAGGAGCAGAATCGTGTCCCTGTTCAAAGCACAACCCAGGCTGTTCCCCTCAGGAACAAGCTGCCAGAGTGATTAGTTTGTGTCGAGGCAAAGCTTCTCTTTGATGTTTTCCAAAGCCGCTCACAGACCTCCTCTCTCGCCAGGAAGGCGACGAGGACATCTATGGCGAAGTGCGGGACGAGGCATCCGACGATGACATGGAGGGGGACGAAGCCGTTGTCCGTTGCACCCTCTCGGCCAACGTGAGACACTGAGGAACACGGGAAATATGGTTTGGGGTGGTGTGGAGGAGGGTGGGGGGATCCTGTTGGGCTGTGGGTGGGGTTCAGGTGGTTTGTGGGTGGAGAGGAGCCTGGAAGCCGTTGTCTGATGGAGGCCAAAACATTAATAAAATGAAGAGGTCTGGCAGCTGCCACGGTTGCATTTTTTGGGTCTCTGTGCCTCTGCCTGGGCAGAGAGAGGCCCCAGACAGTCCCTCCACACCACAGAGTTCGCGTGTGTCCGTTCCTCTTGGAGGAAGTTAACGTTTCTGTGGGTTTTTTCTTAAGCTTGTGGCATCGGGTGAGCTGATGAGTTCGAAGAAGAAGGATCTGCATCCTCGAGACATCGACGCCTTTTGGCTTCAGCGGCAGCTGAGCCGCTTCTACGACGATGCCATCGTTTCCCAGAAGAAGGCGGATGAAGTGCTGGAGATCTTGAAGGTCAGTGGCCACTTGATCCACAGCGGTCTCAGAATACGTCTCTGTCTGGAATTTCCCCCAGCGACTCCTTTCCTGTGTTTTTTCCAATGAACTGCTCTGGTGGGTGTTTGCCAATGAGGCAAATCAACGTGGGACTAAGTTGAGCCCGGTCTTAATTTGCAGAGAAATCTTCTTCTAAGGGAGGATGAGTGGATTTGTGTCAGCGTTTGCTGGGTGATCGTTGTCGCCGGGTCCTTCCCTGCTTATTGTGACGCTGAGGCTCATGTGTTCTGGGCACAGCGCCTCGCTGGGGAGGACGGGGAGCCACAGAGGATGGGTTTTTATCTGGAGTTGGAATCGGGGAGCTCCTCTTGTGTGTAGCGGCTGTTCAGCTCTGCTTGAGCTCAGTTGTGTGCGAAGCAGAGATGCTTCTGTGAGGCGCAGAAATAACCTCATTCTTCCTTTCTCCTCCCAGACTGCGAGCGATGACCGGGAATGTGAGAACCAGCTCGTTCTGCTCCTGGGCTTCAACACCTTCGACTTCATTAAAGTTCTGCGGCAGCACCGCATGATGAGTGAGTGGCGTTCGCTTTAACCGCCCCGCCTGCTCGTTTCCTCGCTGTCCTGACGGGATTCTAGCCCAGCCTGGGGTGTTTTAACCGCCTTTGCTGTTGCTTTGGGAAGCTCGGACCCTTATTTGCTCCTTTCTTTGTGTTCAGCGCTGTCCCTTGATTTTCTTTCCTCAGTCCTGTACTGCACTTTGCTGGCCAGCGCGCAAAGCGAAGCTGAAAAAGAAAGGATCATGGGCAAGATGGAAGCGGATCCCGAGCTGTCCAAGTTCCTGTATCAGCTGCACGAGACGGAGAAGGAGGATCTCATCCGGGTAAGGCCGAGAGGAGGAATCGTGAGATCCTGGCCACCGGCTGCGGTCACTGTGGGGCCGTGCGGTTTGTTTGCTGTTTCTGAGAGGAGCTTGCTGACTCAGCTGGGATCTGGAAACCAGAGGGAACGTCACCGAGGTGATGGCTGAGACTCAGAGCAATATATTTACCACTTCTTATTTCTGAGTCATGCAGACGCCTGCTTTTTTAGGAAAATGTCAATATCTGCAAGTTTCACATTTTTCACTGGTGTTAAACTGTCTTGTGACAGCACCGCTTCCCCTCTGGGCCTCCTTGACATGAGGCTCACCGCAAAAAAAAAAACCCTGGTCATCTCTGATCAGCTCCTAATGAATTACCTGGGGTTGGAACATGACACTCGCAAGGTTTATCGGCGTGCAGGAGGAGCTCTGCGTGGCCTTTGCACAACAGCAGTGTTGTGACTTGATGTGGGCGTTGGTTTTTTGGGGGGATTAATACCATATTGCTGCTTTGTTGCTAGAAAAAAAGATGGTTAGGTTGATGTGAGGGGCCAGTTTGGTGACGGGAGAGCCAGGCAGCACAGGGAGGAGGCTCGGCAGCTCTTCCCCAGGGATGAATTCTCACCTCTTTGTGCAGGAGGAACGCTCTCGCCGGGAACGCGTTCGGCAGTCCCGCATGGATACTGACTTGGAGACCATGGATCTGGACCAAGGAGGAGAGGTAAAACCCTCTGAAGTCATCTGTTCCCAGCCCGTCTGACAACCATCCTCAAACAAAAAGATCATTGGAAGTGGCACAGGCAGGAATATATAAAGAATAAACCCCCGAAGTGCTAAAGAGGCACTTGCCAGGCGGGTCTGGGTGCTTTTCTTTCAGTCCTGGAGTGAAAATGACAGGAGAGGGTTTTTCTCTAAGCCTTCCCCCTTCTCCTTCACCGTTTCCAGGCGCTGGCTCCCCGGCAGGTGCTGGATTTGGAGGATCTGGTGTTTGCCCAGGGCAGTCACTTCATGGCCAACAAGCGATGCCAGCTCCCCGACGGCTCCTTCCGCCGGCAGCGCAAGGGCTACGAGGAGGTGCACGTGCCGGCCCTGAAGCCAAAACCTTTTGGCGCTGAGGAGGTGGGTGACCTGCTTTGTTTCCCTGAGATGTGTTGAGTGACAAAATGACCCGTCAGGGGTCCGTACTGCGACCAGGACCGTTTAATCTCGTCATCGATGGCACAGACGGTGGGATCGAGTATGTTTGTGGCTGTGACACCCTCTCAGATTTCTTG